AGAGCAATAAGATGGGCAGCAGAGCAGTGTGGTGTCACTGAGACCAAGGGAAGACAGGCTTGGGAGAAGGAAGGAGAGGGCTGCAGGCTCAGAGCTGGGCCCAGGAGCCACGCCCCATCCTCCTGGCTCCAGGAGAGGTCAGAGCCCTTCCTTAAACTGTTTCTGGCAGCAAACATGCTTCCTCCTCTTCCTCTCTCACCCTTTCCTCCCTCTCCCTGCCGCTGCCTGTGGCCTCAGAAGCCTTAGCAGCTGGCAGATGTCTAGTGAGACCCAGAATTGACAAGATGTGTCTGGTATTTCCAGTGACTTCTGAGGCTTCCCTTGCTCCTGTCAGCCCCCCGCCTTGATGCACCTGTAGCCTCTTCTCCAAGGCAAGGGCTGCTCCTTCAGCCCCATTCATGGTCCCAAGACCCCCCAACCCCTTTCCTGAGGTCCAGGAGCCCCATGTTGCCCCTATTTGCTCTGTCAGTCCAGCATCCGTGGGCAGCTCATGTCCTGAATAGGGCCACCACTTCCTGGAAGTTCCCCCTTTCACATTCCTACCACATTCCAGCTGCCTAAGAGGTATTAACCCACAAATTCATGACCCAGGAATTTCTGCCTTGGCAGCTCTTCCTTGGTGCTCGGAATTCCTCTCCTGCCTCCATGTATATTGATGGGAGATGTAAGTGAGTCATTGCCCACTCCTGGGTCTCATTTTCCTCAACTACAAAATTGGGTTGATAATCCCTGCTCTGCCTCCCTCCCATGGCTGGCTCGTACTTTGTAAATTCTGCTATTCATACATTCTGTTCCCCCTTTTGGAATGCTGTTTCTCTCCTTATCATCTTAGTGAGTCCTGCTTACCCTTCTGAGCTCTACTAATAAAACATGCTACCATTGATTTCATGCGTGCTCTGAGCCAGCATTGCTCTAAGGGCTTTACCTACATTATATTGCTTCGTTTGTACGTGGAGTCTGAAGAGCTACTCTGATTATTCCCATTTTACAGATGAGGAAACTGAGGTGCAGGGAGATTATATAACTTGTTTTAGGTTACACATCTAGGAAATCTTGGTCAGGACTAGAACTCAGCACTTCTGAAGCAAAATTGAGGAGTTTCTATTTTCAGCCTGGCTCCCTCCCACCACGCCCACCAGAGCTGCTCCTGATTCAGAGGTTGACATGCCTTAAAAGGAGCAGAGTGGCTGTGGTAAAGGAGGTGACAGTCCACAGAGGTCTGCTGTCAAACTACCTCTGGAACCTCACTGGCCTCTGCAACACTGCCTGCTGCAGGGGGTTGGGGAGGGTAACAAAATCAGTACGAGAAGCAAGGAGCCAAATTACATGAGCCTTGAACCTTGAGATCAGGAGGCAAATCTTTCACTGGGTACCAACAGATGCCTATCTCTTTTAAATCAGACTTGTTGAATCTGAGGGATAGCCAGACATTATTGTTTGGTTAACTAGTTTAAACTTCATAATGAAAAAAGAAATGATGTTTTCTTTCAATTCAGCTCTTAAAAAAAAATCAACAAATCAATATCCAAAGATTGGAAATGACCTAAATGTTTATTCATAGGGAACTGGTTAAGTAAATTATTACTGTAAACAAAACAAATAAGCTTTTTGTGTATTGGTGTGAAAAGACATTTAAGAAATCTACAGAAGAAAGCTAGAAATATATGTACAAGTATGCAGCCTTTTGTGTATAAATAAAAAAAAACTCACAGCTTTTAGGGCTTATATATGCACATAGTTTTCTGGAAAGATGAAAAACTGTGAACGGTGGTTGTTTAATAGAATTAATGAGTTAGATTCTTCACTGATTACCTTTCAATATTTGTTTATTTGAACTGGGTGAATGCATTATTTAGTTGAAAATAAAATGAAAAAGAAACACATCACTTTCTTAAACCAAGATTTAATACAATTGCTCCAAGTGATAGGGCTTGACAGTGTCTCATTATTGAGAAAAATTGAAAATTTTTGTATTGAGATTTACTGTTTTTCTAAGTAGTTTTGCATAAATTAACAGATTAATCTTCTTAAGCCTTATATAGAACAGATGATTACTCTCATTTTTCAGAGGAGGAAACTGAGTCTCAGAGAGGTCATTGGTCTTGTCCAAGGTCACCCAATCTGTAAGGAAAGGAACTAGAACTGGAGTCCTGCGGCTGATAACAGGAACAATGAAAAATGCTGAACAAAGCCACACCTTTACTGCTCAGTGGGCCAGTCACTAATTAAAAGAGGGGTAGAATAGTTCTGTTCTCCTGAATGGTCTTTAAAGATTAACTGAGATAATGTATATAAAACTCTTAGTACTGTGCCTACCACAGAGTGAATAATCAACATCTTTCTTTAACTATTGTTTTATCTGAATAGTGGAATAAGATGTTCCAATTCAACTGGCATTTCCTGAACACGGTATATGTCATCTATATGAACTACGAAGGGGAGAAGCATCAGAGAATTGAAGGAAGTACAGGGAATGATCCTTGCCCTAACGATGCTTACAGTCTTATTGGTGAGACAAAGTTTAAGTACACCCACACACCTTTTCTATAGCTATTATTGTCAGTATTCAGCTGATGTTTCCATGCTAAATCTCATTGTAAAATTAAAAATGAATTGTCTGTCCAATTTTATATGCAATGGTTTTAAATGACAAATGACAAAATTTGCAGGGGAAACTAAATGTGGTTTTTTTTCCAGAATATTTGATGCCATTTTAGATAATATTGTGCACAATCTAGTCCTCTAATCATCCTCTGTTACTGAAGTTTGGGCATTAATGGTGCCAAAATAGTGGTGTTGTCCTATGTTCTCTGCATTATCTAATGTTTTATTGTATTGACATACACGATGCTCACTTTGACTTTTGGCAATTCACAGATCAGAAAAATAATAACAGAGTTAGCTGTACTTCTTTGAAAATGATCATATAAAAACAACAGAATTGTTCTTTCCAGTTAATTTTTTCTCCAAAGTTTGGGAGAGGATGAATGCAATTTGCATCTCAAAGGAAAAAGCCCCAATTTCCTGGAGAGGGAAGTGTAAAGAGGACCACAAATGTCCTTATCATCAGGGAGATTGGGCTTGCATGGAAACACCTCCATCTGCCACCACTTGAAGACACGACTGGCAGAAGCCCTTCGATGTCGCCACTCTCAGAAGTGGACGAGAAAGGCCAAAAGAAAAAAAGGTAGGATAACAAGAGGACAAGATTGGGAGGGTTTGGGTCCACTTTGAGCTGCTTATACAGGTTGGAAGGGAGACATTTCAGTGGAATCCTGCTGCCTCTCCCAGTAACAGAACAGATAAGAAAGAGAACCTTTCCAAAGGCTTTCGGCACTTCTGGGTTTAGGGGAGCAATCCATGGTGTTCAACTTTTCTCCAGGTGACTTATGCATGTCCAGGATTTGGAAAAGAGCAGGAGACAAAAGGAACCAAACAATAACGTCTAGTGTATAAACAGTTGTACTTAATCAAACCTGAATACAGGGTGTGCAGGAGATGAGAAAGCAAAGCACGAGCCAAGGTTACCTATCTTCCCTAAGTGATGAAAAGAGTCTCTTAGGAGAAAGACTGAACAATCCACCATCTATAGAATAGACACAGAGACAAAAATCCCTCCATGGAAAAACACCAATAAAATAAAAACTTGAAACTCTTTACATTATCATTGCTTTTCCTGGATTTTACCTGGCATTTTCCTGGTTACCCAGGCTTTAAATAGGGGGTTCAGCATAGACCCCACTTTGAAGTAGAAAAGTCACTAGTTCACTGACCCTTGTTCACAGACCCTGGAGAATCTTTAAGATGCATGAATGCTACTGACCCAAGGGAAAGAGAAATGGCATTGACATGAGGGCGGCAGGGGCTGCAGGGTCTTGATTTGCCTTGAACAAACTGGATGAAAATGAAACGAAGTGAAGACTGGGTTCTGTGATAGCAATGCTATCAATATTTCACTTTAGTGAAAACTCCCACCTCACTGACATAGGTGCTGGTGCAAGACATTTAGAGGACCAGGAAGCTATCATACAGATTGTGAATGATGGCATTGCCATTGCAGAAGGCTGGCCTAAGCATGTGCCCTGTGTGGGCAGTGGCTCCAGAAAATCCCACCTCACACATGCACACATACATATGCACCAAACTTCAACACCAAACATACCATGAGATGTGGTGCCTTATACAGTGATAGATTACAAATAGCTACAAAGCAATCATAGGCTGTTAATGTCAACACATAGTATTTAGAGATGACAATGAAGAGACAGAAAATCAGCTGAGTCCTGCACCCAGTGCAGGAGATGATGTTCTTTGATACAAAACTCATCAACAACCACAGAAATCCCTAAAGTGGAAATAAGAGCATTGGGGTGTGAAGGTAAGAATTTAGGCCAATTAGAGTGGATTAGGGCCAGGTTCCCCACCATGGTGACAACCTGTTAACCCAGCAAAGATAAGTTCAGCCCTGAGAAATAATTTCCACTAGGCATTCCCATAAGGGGAGATAGGTGCAAAGAAAATGCAGCTTCCTTTTACAATATAACAGATGGGATGATTCTCGTGAGTACTCTCCCCACTGAGTGGTCTGCTAGGGCTGCCTTGACAAAGTACCGCAGATGGGGTGGCTTAAACATCAGAAATTAATTTTCTTACCGTTCTGGAGAGTGGAAGTCCAAGATCAAGGTGACAACAGAATTGGCTCCTTCTTAGGGCCTCTCTCCTTGGCTTGCAGATGACCGTCTTCTCCCTGTGTATTCATGCCACCTTCCTGCTGTATGTGCCTGTATCTAAATATCCTCTTATAAGGACACCAGTCAAACTAAGGCCTACCCCAGTGACCTCATTTTAACTTAATTACCTCTTTAAAGAAACTTTCTCCAATAAGTTTACATTCTGAGGTACTGGGTGTAAGGACTTCAACATATTTGGGGGCGGGGGGGAGATTCAGCTTGTAAGAGCAGAGAAAAAGAAAATGTGGTCCCGTCTTTTCTCTGTTTCAGATTTCCTCCCCCTGTTTCCCTTCAAGACAAAAGGCTTCTAAGCATTTAGGGATTTGGGACTCATATCTTTGAAGCAGTGACGGGAGACGGGACCTTGGCTTCAACTACTATTCCTGTGATTACTCCTCTGCCATTCTCCACTCTCCAACGCCTTTTTTTTTTTAATGAAGAAACAAGTCATTTATCCTGTGAAAGTTCTCAAATTCTGAATCTGGCTAATTGTATCCCTATGTTGTCATTTAACATAGTCCTTTATACCCTGTATTTCCTGAAAACTGATAGTTAAATCAATTTGATTAGATTCAGGTTCAATTTTCTGGAAAGAATTCACAGGTGGTGGTGTCTCCTTTTGTACCATGTCAGCAAGACATGATAATCAATCGCCTCGCTCTCTTTTTTGTAATGTTAATGTTGGTCAGTGGGTTCAGGTGTTATGAGACCGTCCATGGGGACACTAACAGCTTGGTGATCACTGCCTAGACCTGTCCACTGGAAATATAATGCAAGGCACAGGTACAATTTAATATTTTCAAGTAACCACATTAAAAAAGTAATCAGTAAAATGATTATAAATCAATAAAAAATGTTAAAAATTTTTTTTAAAAAGTAATCAGATATAAATGAAATTGATTTTAGTGATTGATATATTTTATTTAGCTTATTATATCCAAAATGTTATCATTTCAACATGTAACCAATGTGAAAAGTTAATGAGATATTTTACTTTTTTTGTTGTACCAAATCTTCAAAATCCAGTGTGTATTTTACACTCACGACACATCTCAATTCAGACGAGCCACATTTCAAATACTCAGTAGCCACTCATGATATGATTACAAACACTTGTTTAAGATTTCTTTACAATTCTCCTTGTCCTTAGAATATGTCCCTCTTAGGGGTGTACAGTGAGGCCATTAATAATTCTAGGAAAAACAAAATATGCAAGAAAGAAAATGTAATCACAGAACGCTATTAGATGTTAACTGTAAACAATACTTTCAAAGTCATAAAAATGTAAGCACTGAATGTTGATTTAACGAAAAATTACAACAGGAGGATGAGGGAAGAGAGCTAAACCTTCATCTTTCACAGAAGAAATCAATAGGTAATGTCTAAAATGGAAGTAACCATTTGTTTTTTAGCAGTCTGAATTTGTTACTGCCATGGGACAGTTTTCTCTTTCTTGGGTCTAGTTTCCATTTCCAGCTCGTTTCCATTTTGTGAATTTAACACTTATTTCTCTACTCCTCCTCTCCCTGCTCCCACCCCCCACCCCCACACTCCTCCTGAGGTGGAACTAGGGGAAATGGAGAAGCTTCTTTTACTTCGGCGGGGTTATGATGTACATGCTTTTTGGGGGCCCCTCTTCCCTGACAACCCCAACTTGGACCATGCGCCATGCTTGTCCTCTGGGAGGCAGGCCCTCCAGCCAGGCATCCCTCCTCAGCACGTGTGTGTAAGTTCTCTGCCCCAGAAGATGAGCTGGCCGAGGACAGGGATGGGGATCAGCAAGTCTTGGAGGAGGAGGAGACATTTACTAGGTGAGCAGGGCAGGGGGCAAGGACACTGGGCACAGAGGGGCAGCATGGACAAAGGCATGGATCTGCAGTGCACCGAGGGCCAGCGGTTACTCCTCAGAGACGCTGTGCAGCTACTCTGACTTTCCTGACTGTGCAAGACATAGGGCCATTTCCTAATCTACTTAATAATAGGCGAACACTCTGGTGTCTGCTCAGCACTTGGTCTCGAACAAATGAACCCAATTAAAAGCCATCATAGGGGAATTCAGGGGAAGAGGAAAAAGTCATTGATCAAATTAATGTGCAGCTGCCTTGGGGCTGGTTTGTGACCTGCAGCAGAATCCTTCCTCCCACTCTGCCCTAGACCTGGGGACCTTCCAGTCACCCCTGGCTCCATCCTCCACTCCTCCACCCTTCCACCGACCAGCTGAGTGGCACCTCACTGTGCCTCCTCTGGATCTGGGTTTCACTGCCTGCCAAACCCTGCAGGAAAAAACTGTCAGGTATCCTGTCGGCTCTTCCTTTAAAATATATCTGGCATCAGTCCATTTCTCACCACCTCCATTGCTACCATCTGGTTCTAATCCTCTTGATCTCTCGCCTGGATTCCTGCATTAGCTCCTTCCTGCTCTGGCTGCTCCCATCCCTGCCCCACTATAGTTTATTCACCACCCTGCAGGCAGACTTCTTACAGGGAAATCAGGTTGTATCTCTGCCATGACGTTCCACCTCACTCACTGCCCTACAGACTCCCTCAGTCTCTGGCCTCCTCATCTTCTATCCTCACTCCAGGCACCAGCCTCCTTTCTCCAGCAGCCAGACCTTGGTGCTCACATTCCCTATACTCAGAAGGGCCACAGACAGCCCCTCATTAACTCCCACACCTCCTTCACGTCTGCTCTCGTTTTAGCCTCTCCCAAGGCTTCACCTGACCACCTTATTTAAAATCCCATCCTCCCTCCTCTCCCAATCCCTCTTCCTGCTCTGCTGGTTTCACCACTTGCCACCTACTAAAACACCACAGAATTTACATTTTATGACATCTGTTGCCTTTTGTCTTTCCCACCCAACTAGGATGTAAACTCCACAAAGGAAGGATCTCTCTTTTTAATTTACTGACAATTTCCAAACACCTATACCAGTATCTGGAACATAGTATGCATTTGGTAAATATTTGTTGAATAAAGAATGAATGAATCAATAATAATAAGGTTCCTGCCTCAAGGGCTCTTGTGAAACTTACCTGAAATAATTAATTTGACTTGCTTTGCAAAGGAAAGGAATTATATAATGAGTTCCCACTGGTACAAAACGGTTACATGGTTTATCTCAATTATTCCTATGAATCTCATTCATTCAACAAACAATTATTGTGCACCAACTATATACTAAGCTTTCTTCTGGGCACTGGGGATAAAGTAATGACCAAACTAGACAAAGACCCCTGTCCTCTGGGAGCTTTCAGGAAGAGACAGACAATACAAATAAAACATGAGGTGAGTATGATTATCCCTTTTTTTATGACGAGGAAATTGAGGTGCCAGAGGTCATCAGATTAATGAGCGGCAGAGTCAAGATTCAAATGTAAGTCTGTCTGACTCCAAGGTTTATGTGTTTCTGTGCCTTGTGGATGAGGGTGTCTGGGTTTAGGTGGAATTAAAGCTTGTGGATGAGGTGTGCAGGTCTAGAGTGAGGACGTGGGGGGTGCCTGGAGGGCTGGCTGAGACTCCCCTCTCACTCTATGGTTCCCACTCCATCTCAAGGGCCTCCCCTTCCTCATGACTGAGAGTCACAGGCATTTGATCCACTGCTGTGCTGGTGGGATCCAAATTACAGGCATCTCATGGGTGGTGGGTGAGCCCTAACTTCGGGGGCTGCTGGGAGGACCAGCTGAGCTCCATCACACCTCCCAGGAGATGGAGTCCAGTTGTGGAGGCTGCCATGTGAGGCAGCAAGGACTTCTGGGAGGCTACAGAAGGGCTTCCAGAGGGGGTGGAAGCACTAGAGTTGGGCAGGGGAGGGAGCTGGGGGTACCAGCCTGGAGAAGGGCCAACTCCAGGTCATGGTCATACCCTCCTGTGGCTGACGTGGGCTGAGGGCAGATGTGCTATGTGCCCCTAGGGCTGAGCTGGGGAGACAGGGCTCCCATGAGGAGGATCCTCCCACAGGGACGGGGGACGCCTAGGAGGAGTGATCTTTCCATCTCTGGAGGTAGGGGGAGGATACAAATTATGCTGGGGTGTTAGGGACGTGAAGAGGGGACTCTCATTGGAGGGACAGACCTTATCAGGAGCCCCACATTCAGAGAGGGGAGAAGATTCTGGTTTCTCTTCAGAAGAGCTCCCAGACCTCTCCAGCTGGCCCTCAAGGCCTACAGTCTAGCTCCAGGTTTGCAAGCCCTTTGGGAGGGCCTCTCTAGCCCTCTCCTCAACACTCACCAGGGCTTGGGTGTCTTCCTGGCAGCCAGTGAAGGTGGGGGACACCATCTGGGGCCTCCTTGAAGGTAAGCAGGAAGTCAAAGGGACACCCACAGTCAGAGGCTATCATGAAACTGTCCTCAGGGACCCGCCACTCCTGGCAGAACCAATGAGGGCCAAGTCAGCACCTTTGAAACCCCAAGCTGGGACACTGGGCCTCCGAGGGGCAGTGCCCTGAGGGTGGAGCAGCTGGGTCTGCCCCTCAGTCTTGCCTTCACAAAGCCAGCAGCTGCATATGGTGCGTTCCTCTGAGGCAATAAAACACCCCACAGTTTGGGGCTTTGTCCTCGTGCCAGAGTGCAGCATGTGGATCACATAAGGGCTGTAGGACTCTAGATGGGAAGTCCCTGTGAGCCCATGGGGGTGAGTGTGCTGGAATGGAGAGCTGAAATGTCACCTGCTCTCACTCACCCAGGTAGAGGCAGCACCCTCTTGACAATGCTGATCAGCCCGCACCATCAGGAACAAGCTGCAGGCTTATTCCTTGCTGCAGCAAATACTTCCCATCAGGGGATTTCCTGGGGTGTCCCCAAAGGAGGGAGTTAGGGAAGGGGTGCTTCTGGGTTGTGAGGGCTGAAGTTAGTCAAAGGATGGTCTTTGGCAGAGATCAGTCAGAATTTGCAAAGCAAGGAGCTGCTGGAACAGTCAGAGATCCTATGTTGAGAACACAGGAGTCCTCATGGAGTGTGAGATCAGTTTGGTTGTGGTCTTCTCTTGGGCCATGTGGGTCTAAACACACAAGTGTTTACAGGCGTGAGCTTAACTAGCCTGAGATGGACATCATGGCATCGTCAGGCACTGTTACCTGTTTTGGAAGTCAGGGTATGTTTTGCAAATTGTGTTCCCAGTTTCAATTCTCAGTCCTATCCCATCGTACATTCCCCAACCACCAGGCTGCCAGTGGATCATTTTCTTTTCATCACTGCACAGGTGAGAGTCTGGACCCCAGCCCCCATTCCTGCCTCTGCTGCCAGCTCTGGACACCAGGGGGCGGCAGGGCATCATCCAGGAACTCGGGACCCACAGTAGTAGACTAAGCAGCCAGGGATGGGAGCTGAGCCAGCACCCATAATGAAGGAATAGGTATGAAGCTTTGAACTGTCCTGTTTGCTTCTCTTTGCTCCCAGGAATTCTGGAATCAGAGAGCAAAAAAGGGGAGGAAAAATAGGGAGTGAGGAGGGAGAGAAACTGAAGGAAAGGAAGGAAGAATGGGAACGGAGGAAAGGAAAGGGCTGGCAGTTGGATCCTCTCCCCACTCCCATCTTTTCCTGCCATCCAAGCCCATCTGCTTCCATCTCCTAGTCTTAGTCTGACCTCCTGGCATCCCCT